GCCCGTATTCTCACTAGACGTTTACGTCTAGAAGTTCTGGGCATGGACTGTCTAACCACGGCCTCAGAAGTGGAGAACGCTATACGCGGGGAATTAGGAAAAAAGATGAATGGCCAACTTCGCGTCTCTCTCCTCGCTGTAAACTCGCGAGAACAAAGAATGGCCGTGGTGGAAATTGACGAACTGCCAGGCCGGACTCTTATTGAAAAGGGGAAGCTGCGAGTAGGTTGGATTATCTGCCGAGTCCGAGAGCGCGCGGATGTCCAAAGGTGTTTCCGATGTATGGGGTATGGCCACAAAAAAAACGGCATGCAAAGGCCCAGACAGAAGCAGTTCATGCTGAAAATGTGGTCAGCAGGGCCACATAGCCTCTGCATGTAAAGAAAGCCCAAGCTGCTACCTGTGCTCGGCAGGAGATGGACAGAAAAATGCCAATCACCTGCCCGGGTCGGGAGCGTGCAAGGCCTTCAGGGATGCCCTTGCTGAGGCTAAGACAAAGCTTGGGAGAATATGATTAAATTTATACAAGGCAATATGAACAGGAGTAGGGTAGCTGATGACCTGCTGGACCAATTGGTTCTTGAACAAAGAGCAGACGCTGTCATCATCAGTGAACCCTATAGAACAAATGAAACCTGGCATGTTGACCAATCAGGCTCGGCGTGATATGGATTGCTAACCTCAACCATCGCGCAGAGAANATGGCGCAAATCACTGTGGTGAGCTGCTACCTGTCTCCAAACGACACAGTCCCTGTCTTCAGGGGAAAGCTCGAAGACCTTGAAGACGAATTGCGCGATATAACCGGCCACATAATTGTTGCTGGAGATTTCAACGCAAGAGGCGTGGAATGGGGTATGCCCCAAACAAACACCAGGGGAAGACTGGTCCTTGAAATGGCAGCCCGCATTGGCCTGACCATCCTCAACACCGGAACGACCCCTACATATCGAAGGCCGGGTTTTGGATACTCTATCGACATAACCCTGGTCTCAGAAAGCCTTCTGCGAAGGGCTGACAGATGGAGAGTGATGGGACCACAACTACATCACATTCCAAGTCCCTGACACAACGCGAGGGCAAACACGTAGTATCCCTCGCAGGAAACCAGGATGGAACCCGTCTAGGGTCGATGTTCGCAAGTTCGATACGTCACTCCTAGCAGATTCCCAAGGCATTTCACCCACAACGGGAGAGATCCACAACAGGGAGTCTTGTACTAAGCTGGTCGAAGAAACTATGCGCTGCATTCACCGGGCATGCAAAGCCTCAATGCCACAGAGGAGAGCATGGTCAGGTAAAAAGCAGGTATACTGGTGGAATGACCGAATTGCTGAGCTGCGAAGGGCCTGCCATAGAATGCGGAGACTCGCAACGCGCGCTCGTGGTAGACCCGAGGCGCTGACCAGAGCAGCAGCCTACAAAAGCGCTAAGAAAGCACTTGGGGCCGAGATACAGAAGAGTAAACGGAACTGCTGGAAAGCGCTATGTGACGAAGTGGATCGCGATCCCTGGGGCCAGGGATACAAAATAGTGATGAAAAAGTTCCATACATCATCACAGGCGATGGATGAGGCCCGAGTTAAGAATATAGTGGATGCGCTATTTTCCACACACCCACTAAGAGCATNATACAAAATAGTGATGAAAAAGTTCCATACATCATCACAGGCGATGGATGAGGCCCGAGTTAAGAATATAGTGGATGCGCTATTTCCCACACACCCACTAAGAGCCGACACAGTGTTCGTCGAGGAGCAAGCCGAGGCACCACTGTTTTCGACAGACGAGCTGAAGCTAGCCCTGCGAAGCATGAAAGCCGGCAAGGCTCCAGGCCCAGATGGCATACCAGCGGAGTCAATCAGGTTAGCAGCGAAACCGAGCCCTGCTCTCCTGCTTAACATGTACAACAGCTGCCTTAGGGCTCAGGTCTTCCCAAGCCAATGGAAGAAGGCGAGACTGGTGCTTATACCCAAGGGCAAAGATGACCCAAACTCTCTTTCATCCTTCCGGCCACTCTGCATGCTAGACACAGCAGGCAAAATGATGGAGAGTCTGCTCAAAATACGCTTGACGTCAGCCATAGAAAGCGAGGGAGGCCTTTCACCCCGACAACATGGCTTCAGGAAGGGACACTCAACTATAGGAGCAATTGGCGAAGTAGTCGAGGCGGTACATAAGGCCGAAGAAGCCTGCCACCAGGCGCGGCCAATAGTGCTGCTAGTCACACTGGACGTCAAGAACGCCTTCAACTCGGCAAGATGGGACGACATGCTGGAGTCCATGGAACGGTCTTTCAAGGTTCCAACATACTTGCTAGATATGATCCGGGACTACCTCAGAGACCGCTTGCTTTTCTAAATTTTTTTGCGATGTTGCTTTGACCAGGGCTTGAACCCAGGCGCTGCGGAGTGGAAGCGCGCACTGCTTACCACTACACCACAGCGGCCGCCAATGTATGAATGGTTGTTAGAATAATAAGCAGCCATAACCACTACGTCAACTTAAATTTCCTAACGATGTTTAGTAGTTGCCAAAAACTGTTCGAAGTTGTTCGGGCGTTCCGATTTTTTCCAATGGATAAAATTTTTTGTTTAAGAATTTAAACACACTCATTTTTTAATGCAAATATGGGGTTTTCTTGTAAATAAATCTACATCTATATGAAGGCCTTTATTAACGTTCGTTGAAGTCATTTCTTCGTACAAGCAGACGTACATATTGACGCCTCCAAACCATACTATGCTAAGTCTGATTAACTCTAAGCTGACATAGCATAGTATGGTTTGGAGGCGTCGATATGTACTATATATATATACTGTTACTTACAAAATTGAGTACACGGTTTGTTTTTGTTAATACTCGCAATGTTTTACATGCTAAAGTTTTTTTTTTTTTTATTTTTGTTTTGGTTTGAGATATGGCTTATTTCCGGTTTCGAGCTAAATATCTATACATTGGTCTACCAGAAATACAAGAGAGTTTATAGTAATAGTAAATAGAGAGTAATAAAGCAATTTTCTCTGCCTGAAATTGCTGAGGTAAAATTCCACTCCCTTCTCTCTCCCGTCCATAAAGAGTCGGAAGGTATGACTGAAGAGCATTCATGATATTTATTAAGACAAATCCTACTTCGAAAAGAGAATACGCAATTTCTTTGAAACTTAAAATTTATAGAAGTGCCCTTAATTCAGAGCTTTATAAAACCCTTGTAAGAGCACAGTCTACGAGCAAACCCTTATGAAACCTATTGTCCTTCTCACTTAGACAAAAAATATATAACGGTAAAAATACCTCATATATGTATGAAAGGATACACACGGGCGACGCCTCTAGCTATTGTTGGTCTCACCTTAAAATTATCGCAAATTTTTTTTCATCCCCCCTTCGCAGAATCCTGGCTACGCCACTGGTCGGCGATGAAATCGCATAGGTATGTGGATACCTTAAATCTACATCAACAAGCTGTAATTGAAAAAAAAAAATTGATCGAGGTATTTATGGAAATCGATTGGCGGATTATGGTGTATCTAAAGCAGGCATCTCTACAATAAAGAAAAAAAACGGCATACAATTTCGGAGGCAATGGCGAGCACATATCTGTGGACATTTGACAAACTTAAGTCTTTAACGGAAATACAAAGTAGCATATCGTCGTCTCAGAAAACGGATGTCGAATGTTACAAAACACGGTTTTGAGAAAATTGACTTTGAAGTTTAAGGTCGAATTAATCCGAAACTGTACGGTAGATTTTTGTAATTTTTGAAGGAGACGTAGTTGGTGTTATTAGTTTTGATTTTCCATGTTTTTACATTTAATATCTCTTAAAGTTAAAAAGAAAATTGACTTTTCATTCCGTATACATTTGTCGTAAGTAGCGTTTACTCACCACTTTGTTTTGTCCATAGAACATACGACAATACTAAAGTATCTATTTCAACGACGATGATATAATTTGATGAGAAAACCAGACATATTTATTAAATAATGATTACTTATTAGAAAAAACATAACAAAAACATATTCATGCATTTAATAAAAAAAATCTGTACATGTCTTATGCTGTAAATATGTTACGAACATACGTTTTCTTTATATAAAAACAAAAACAATACTTAAATTCAGTCTTTTGTACATTTTGATTTCTTTCATCTCGTTGGAGACTCAGTGCAAGCTAAAATTTAAAAATTTAAAATTAGTTACTTAGTTTAATTTCCAATTTTAATTGTGTCGTTATAGTAGAGGACCATCGAGTTGTCGTAAGTTCAAAGTTTTGCGATACATACGACAAATGTTATGATTAAAAAAAGATTACTTTTGTATGGGAAATTGTCGTATGTGCCACATACGACAAATGTTTTATGATTTAAAAAAAAAAGTACGTTTGTATGGGAATTTGTCGTATGTGACGCAATTTCAGCACATACAACAAAAGGCATACCCAATCATTAATATTATGTAACATACGACAAAATGCGCACGAAATGTTTTAAAAACCAAAGGAGATATAAAAAAAATGGATTGCAGAAATCAAAAGAGTGCATCAAAATCCCAAAATCGTGATTTTGCACATTCGTCATCCGTTTTATGAGGCGACGATATGTCCACAAACCATATTTTACCGTCAAAGAGAAAGCTGTCGCAATTCCTTTAAAAATGTTTCTGTTTGAAACAACTGAAGTTTTAATTTAAAAAAATTCGTAATGATGAAAACTAAGTCATTGAAATAAATTTAGCGTGTTATTACCTAAAAACAATGTTTATTATAATAGTTTTTTAAATCTTGTAAAGCGCTTAGAAGTTAATAATTCGAAAAGGCTAATCACCCTTGGGACATTTCGGTTAACCTATTTGAGATTCTATAGTATTTTGACCGCTGCTGTAGGTGTGCTTAAATCAAGTTTTTTAAAATAAAAAGAAATACTAATATTTAAAACGATTATTTTCCTCGCTAAAAGAAAAAAAAAATAGAATCTCGGGCGTGCAAGCATAAAAACACTAAATCTGCCGAAATCTTACATGTTATCGACTTTATTGGCCGGACTTCTCACCAAATTACTGGTGCAAAGCTTATAAAGAGTGCTATTTGATCCAACATATCGCAATACTTCGTATACACCAAATGCAATACCACGTATACGATAGTCCGAAAATTTCACAAAAGTGCAAATAAACTTATTTTCTTATAAACTTTTGAATGGTTTTTTAACAGAACTTATTAAATATGAGCGTCTACTAAAATTATTGACCATTAAATTTGTAAAGTAGGCAAGCGCTGGGACAGGCCACTTGCACTTGGATGATACGAGGTATTGCGCGTCAAGCGACGATATGTATTTAATAAATTTGGTGAAATGCTGTAATTAAAATAACAAAATAATTTAATTTCTGAAGCAAAACACATATTTTCTTTATAAGTCATTCTCGCTTCTATCAAGCGTTATCCCATCGACCCCAAATTTTTACTGTAAGTTTTTCAGACGAAAATAAACAAATATTCGGGCGGCGCCTGTTGAAATTTTTATTTGTAAAAATATGGGCACCCTTAGTGCACACACATATGACATACGTTTTTGCCTCATCATTTTCCCCAGGTTTTTGAATTGCTCGGCCTCTGTCGATTGTTTTGGAAGAGGACGTCAGCTGGAGCGTCCCATGTAGGTACGCTAAATACATATGTGTACAAAAGGGAGTGCTGAAAATAAAATAAAAAAGTACAAAAAATCACAAACAAACTGAATTGCGTTTGGCAATTTTATGCGCCCTGTTTTTCTCCTACTCTTTAGCGGCAATTCTCAACGCATTTAACTGTCCGCCATTTGGCAACGCTGCGACCAGAACGACACTAGCCACCAGCCACCAGCCACCAACCATTTCTGCGCGGTTAGGCTTCAATGGTGGCGTTTCTGCTATGTCTTTCCCTTTCAGCTGCCCCTGCTTGGGTCGAAGCAATATTGTGTTGCTGTGATTATTACTGTGCCGTCGCCAGTCGTAATTTGCACGTCGTGGCTGCGACTGCCACTGTGACCAAGCTGCTATGCCTTGCACGCGCTCTTTGTTCCTCTTATCCGTCTGCTCGCCATTTGGCCATGAGGCCATGTGTTTCCTCTTTGCGTTCGAAATGCTTTTCGTGGTTTTGTTTTCATTTTTACGCTCGCCCCTCCATCCGCCATCTCCCCTTCTCGCGTGCACTTTGCACACTCGAACTTCCTTTGCCTGGCTGTCGTTGGCGCAAATACGTGTTGTGTCGGCGCTCTGTTGGTTAGTGATTGCTGTGCCAACGAGCTATGGCCAGCGATGGCTGCCGTAGCAGATAGCATTGAATTGCCGCCGTTGGGTGTTTTGTTTGTTTTATTGTTGCTCCCGTTGCGCGTTACCAAGCATTATTTACCATCGTCATTGTCATCATCATCGCCACCACCACCACCATTGTCGCCATCGCCAAAGTAGCCGTCACTGCCTGTGACTAGTAGAGTCAATGCTAGGTGTGCAGGTTCACTTGACTCCCAGTTCTTCGATTGATACACACATGCACACTCACACACTTACCCATGTACTGATGAATGCACACACACACATTCTTCACATACACTCGGTCGCATATCGGCAAATAAGAATAATGCGCCATTGATGTCGGTTCTTGCTTGCTGCGACTGCCAATGAACCAGTCAGCAGGCCACCAAGCCAGCCATTCAGCTAGGCCGTTTTCCCTGCTCGTTTTGCCTAATGGACAGCCAGTCGCTATCACCTCGCTAGTGTCGACGTCGTTTTAATTTTCTTTACACTTTTCTTCGCTTGGATCACACACTCTCTTCTTTTTCATTCATAGGTGTGTATGTCGATATAGTCACGAAAAAACGCCAACGGCCTGCTTGTTGGTGATTGCTAACACCGGCTAGTCGCCAAAGCGTTTTAATTTTGCTGCCTCCCGCGTTTTCTGTGTACTTTTTTACTTTCGCATGTAAGTGTGTTGTTGGCTATTTTCCACTCTTACTTTTTTTACTTCATATTGCTTATTCCCCGTTGCACCTCTTCAGTGTATCACCATCACTCAATGTCGCACAGCCTTTGTCAGTTTTTTCTGCTTTTCCTCCATCCGCCAGCGCAATGTTTTCTGATTTCTTTTCGTTGCGATTCCATTGTGAGTTTTTAGCTTTCAGTTTTTGGTTTTTTCAGCCATTGCGTTGTGGTGGCGCGTTGTGGCACTTTATTCCTACTGCCCGTCATTTTTCCTTTTTGCCTGTGTCGAGTTTATTTTCGTTTGCCAGTGCCTGTCTGCCTGCCGACCGTCGTTTGGAATGATTTTGTCAGCCAACCAACCATCCAGCCATGCAACCAACAAGCAGTCAGCCAGCCAGCCAGCCAGCGCGTATTGCGCCAAATGCTTGATGCTTTGTTTTTTGTTGTGCCTCCGTTGCTGGCGGTTGCTTGTTTTCACTTTGTTTTGCTTCCATTTCATTCGCTTTTGAAATTTGCGCTTGGCGAATTTCAGAGTGCGCGCACACGGTGGCCGCGCTCATCTGCCCCTCGCGCTCAGCCTGGCTTGGTCTGGTGAACAACTACGTGCCAGTCAGTCAGCGTCCCCTGTTTGAGTAGTCGACGTTGTCGTTTCTGCTGCGTTTCGTCGCTTTTCGCTTTCCTCTCACTCGCATCTCCATCCCATACAAATCAGTCATCCATCCTCACCGCGTTAGCGTCATCATCATCAGCAGCAGTGCAACAAAAATAAAAACAGCAGTGATAACCACCGTTGCGGCTGGGGCTGTGTTGCTGTGCAGTTCGCGGTGAGCCGTGTGCTGCGGTTTTGTTGTTTTCTACTTGACATTGTTGTTGCCATCGTTGTCGATGTGTATTATTCTGCGCTCCAGTCGAAAAGCCCAAATTGTATGCCCACAAGCACAAAGCCTAGCATTCAACGCGCGCAAATACACGCCATCCGAGCCTCCCCTCCGCAACATGTCGCGCGTCATCAAGCGAAACGCCGCCGCTCACTCAACTCACACTCTTTAGTCCTCGTCGCCAACATTGCCGTCATCAAATTGCCGTCATGTGAAGAACGCAAGGTATGGTTCTGGTGGCATAGCCTTATGGCGGCTGTTGACTGTCTGGCTGGCTGGAGCTAACGACAGCAGTGGTGTTGGTGCTGTTGCTGGCGTTTTGCAAGAAGGAGGCAAAAGCGTTTGCGTTTTCTCAAATGCGCTTCCACACGCTGCTGCTCGTTGTTTGCTGCTTATTCAATGCCTGCCCAGCTGCCTCACTGGCTTTCTGCCTGCTGCCAACTGGCCGAATGTGTTGGCTGGCTGGCTGTGTGGCTCTGCTTTGCTGAATTTTCAATTCAGTTGTGAGCCGACTGCAATCAGCAGTGGAAGTGTGTAAATTTTTAAGACGTGATAACGCGAACGCGCGAGTCAAGTCAGTTTTGTGGAGTTCTGGGTTCTGTAAATGCGCGTGTGTTTGTGTCACCATCGTTAACGCTATTGCGCCGTTCGGAGAATCAAAGGAAGATTCAGAGCCAGTACCACATGCATACATATATTCATTGGTTGGTCGTCAGTTGTTTGTTTGCGTACTGATTCGTTAGTTAGCTGACTTGATTGAAGCGACTCTGCTATATATGTATACGCCCACGCCCCGCGCGCCTTCACCTGTAGTTCCATAGCATGTTGTCATCTGTTGCAAACACCTTTATCATCGTCATCAGTCAGTAATGGTGTTGGGGCCACTGCCTGTCGATTTTACTGGTGCGTTCTTTCGCATTTGTCTGCTGCGCGTATGTGTTTTATTGATTTTATATTTCAAGCGACGCCTCCACCAAACGTCCATGCAAAGTTTCGCGGCCTACTCGCATACATGCATTACTGCATATATGTATACCCACGATCCAGAAAATAAAGGTCGCGCCATTCGCGGACCGTTAACCCTCTCTTCGTCGATTTGACAGCATCCACCTAATCGCTGACGTCATAACATACTTTTGTTTACATTCCCTGTTGCCAACTTCATGCCTTTCGCACCAAATTTAGTGGGTATTCAAAACGCGAAAATTTTTGAGTTTGGTTCTTGGCGCGTTTTTGGTGCTTTTGTTTTTAGTTTCAAGACACCAAATTAGAAAATCTTAAAAAATGGAAGCAAAATTTATAGCAATCGTAAGTGTGGTAAGCAACTTTACAAAAATTTAAACAAAATCATGGCACAGTGACAATCATAAGCGACAACAAAATATGTGGCAGCAGCTTCAATCATGCCAGAAGAATCAACCGTCGTGCAAGAAACATTGATTTTTATTAATTTGAATCGGCATCCTTACAATAAAATTATGTATGCATATAAAGTCTATAAAATACGCCAATAAAAGTTTGGTGCTTTTTCAAATTCAAAACTTGGCAATACTGCCTTTTGTCCGATGCTTCCTCTTTTTCTTGTCGAGTTCGTCTTGCTCTCTCATTCTGGTATTTATTGACGTCACGGCCAGTTGCTCTCAGCTCGATTGGCGCAATCTTGTATTCTATCATTCTTGATGTATACCCATATGTATACTCGTACACATTTACATATGTACATACTTATCCATTAATGTTGGTACATATGAGTATATATAGTTTTCCTACCTCCTGATTGCCACATTGGTTTAACTGTCACTACAATTCGCCTCCTGGGAGTCCACTCTCCAAGCCCGTCTAGTTCGTATGCATTGGTAATCACTCCATGATTATATTGCTGATACAGTTTATTCT